TAATATTAAGATCTTAAAACTTTTTAAATATTGTAACGCAAAAATATTGTCAGTTTCAATTGAAATAATACTTGGGAAAAATTTATCTTAAAAAACCAAGATAATTGTGGACACTTAAACTTTTATTTAAACCCGGAAAAAAATGTTTCATATGTAATTATATATAACTATATAAAATTATATCAAAAGCGATTGAGGATGCAACGTTGTCGTTGGTACGCAAAGTAATAGATAATATTTTTTGTTATTTTTTTATTTCATTAATCAAAATAAACTACATAAATATTTCAAAGAAAATTAGCCAATTATGGTATATGTTAACAGAGATTTTACAATATCAATCCTGTAAATTTGATGGTCATACTGCGCATCCAAGGAAGAATAATTAATAATTTGTAATTTGCTGAAGAAGACTCCAAAAAGAATCGAAACATACATTTTGATTAATGAAATAAAAGAGTAACAAGAAATATATTCTATTACTTTGCGTGACAATGTTAACCAATGACAATGTTGCACTCTCAATCGCCCTTGGTATTCTCTACTTCTTATTTAATTGTGGAGAGTCCATAAAAAGATTACTTTTTGGAATATTTTATATAAAATTATTGTATATAAAATTGTATAAAATTATATGTATATAATTATATAACCTGTAAGAAATTAGTCCCTCACTTTTGGAATCAACTTATTTTGAAAATTGTACCGAATTGTGCTACATTGTGTTCGAATATTAAAGTCAAAATATGAAAAATATGTTAGAAAATTTAAAAAACGATTTTTTAGATCAATTCCCCCACTTTGCGATTTTTTCAATTTTCATGATTGTACTGATGTAGATTATGTTAAATTGTACTAATGTTGTGTCAAAGTAGTACTTTCAAATAATGATAATAGAAATTATGATAAAAAAGTGATTTTTGGTAATTCGGAATAAAAATGACGCTTAGTTATATATACGTTACATACGTATCAATTATTCAATACTCAATAGGTGTACAACTTTGTTTCCGCCGTTTTTTTCCGAAATTCGAGGTTTTATTGTAAAAAACTGGTTATACATTTATGATTCAAAGTATTGTCCATCGCTGGCCACTTTCTCCCATCTTTCGGGTAGCGTACGAATCCCGCGTCGAAAAAACTGGTCATCTTTTGAGGCTATCAACGAATCGATCCAATTTTTTACTTCTTCATAAGACCGGAAGTGCTGGTCAGCCAGGCCGTGTGCCATTGATCGAAACAAGTGATGAGGGAGTAATGTCTGGAGAATACGGCGAGAATACGGATAGGACTTCCCATTTCAACGTTTCCAAATATGTCTTAATCATTTTCGCAACATGGAGTCGAGCATTGTCATGCTGCACTTTATCGTGTTTCTCGTTGTATTGCGGCCGTTTGTCTTTCAATGCTCGGCTCAAACGCATCAATTGCGTTCGATACCGATCGCCTGTGATTGTTTCAGTCGGTTTTAAGTTCATAATACATTACGCCGAGCTGGTCCCACCAAATACAGAGCATGACCTTGGACGTCAAAATCACCGTTCTTGAAGCGTTGAAACCACTCACGACACGTTCTTTCACTAATAGCGGCCTCACCATAAGTATTTGAGAGCATTCGATGAGCCTCAGCCGCAGATTTCTTCATATTGAAGCAAAAAATTAAAATCTCTCGCAACGATGAGAATTTGGTTCGTAAACTGACATTTTCAATCGAGAATAATTTATGATGCAGACACAAATCGACTAATGTTTCTATGGGATTATGTTGACAGATGCCCAAGTTTATTGTATAACGTCTATGATCTATTTATTTCGACCACCACTTACTGCTAAAGCCATCTATAGGAAAACAGCGGAAGCAAAGTTGTACACCAAGCAAAGTTGTACACTAAGCAAAGTTGTATAAAATTGCATATCAGAGTTGTGCCAGCTTAGCATAACTCAGCACAATCTTCAAATCCTCTGTACAATGATATTAAGGGCAC